TTTGTGGGGGGGTTGTGGGGGGGGGATGGTGGGAAGACTGTGGGTAGGGAAGGGGTGGTGGTTGTGTAGGAATTGTTTGAGAGAGTAAGGCAGGCAGTGGAGCATGGGGCCTGCATTCAAATCCAACTCAGGCTCATGTGAAGAACAGCGTTACTAGGATTTTAAAGAAAGTAGTTACAGAGATAATGGATGCCTGAAAGTAATCTTTCAGTAAGTCCCAGAGAATTGGAAAATTGCCAATGTGACACCCTTATTCAAAAAGGAAGTTGACAAAACTAACCAAAGGCCGCTTAACTTAGCATCTATCATTGAGAAAACTGAATCCATTATAAAGAATATACTAGCAGAGCACGTGGAAATACATAATATATCCAAGTAGAGTCAATATGGCCTAATGAAGGGAAATCAGCCTGACAAATGTTATTGGAACTCTGAGGTACCAAGCAGGATAGATACAGGAGAAATCAGTAGATGTCATGTATTTGGATTTCCAAAAGGCATTCAATAAGACACTGCATGCAAGATTAATTAATAAGAGGACAAGGTGTTAGTTTGTGATGATTAATTAATAGAAGGCAGGGGATTTGGGAAAAACAAGGGAACATTTTCAGGCTACCAGCCTCCCTAGCTAGTAGAGGGTCACAGGGATCAGCAACGGGCTCACAATTATTTACAAGATTGGATGAGGGAAGTGAATGTTATATAGCCAGGTTTGTCGATGGCAAAAAAGAATGGGAAAGGCAAGTGTGAGAACAACACCAGTTTGCAGAGGGTTATAAGCCAGTTAAGTGAGTGAGAAAAGATTGGCAAATGAAATATAATGTGGGAAAATAGGAGGTTATGTCCTTCGGCAGGAAGAATAGAGGAGGCGACTTGTTTAAACAGAGAAAGTCTGCAGAAACACACGAATGACGAAAAGCTACAGTACAAGTTCAGCACGGAAAGGAAATTAAATGTTGGCCTACAGTTTAAAGGGAACAGAGTATAAAAATAGGAAAGTGTTGCAAAGGCTATACAAGGCACTAATCAGATCATAGCTGGAATATTGTGAACAGATTTGGTCCCTTTATCCAAGGAAAATAAACTGGTATTGGAGGTAGTCTAGAAAAGATTCACCCTAGTTATCAAGGGATTTTCTAATGAAGACAGATTAAGTTGGGGTTTGACAGGATAGATCTGAACAGTTATTTTTCCTTTTGGCAGAGTCAAGGACCAGAGGCATGATCACAGAACAAGGGTTGCCCAATTAGGATAGAGATGAAGAGAAACTTCTTTGCTCAGAGGTGGAGAATCTATGGAACTCTTTACTGTGGAGGCTGGATAGTTAAATATATTGGAGGCTGAAATAGATTTTTAATCAGAATGCGGGTTACAGGGAAAGGACAGGGAAGTGGTGTTAAGGATAATCAGATCTGCCATATAGTCTTAGTGAATGGTGTAACAGATTCAATGAACAAAATAGCTCCAAAATCATATGATCCTGTGTAAGATAAAGCTCCGGGTGGGCATAGCGCTACAATGCTGGCATAGCGCTACAATGCTGGATCACCTCTTATGGTGCAGTAATTAACAGCTTCACTCAGAGAGGTCAGAGGGCGTCTGATATAGACTTTGGAGAAGTCGAGAGAATCTTTCTGCAGATTGCAGTTGAGGCAAATTATTTGCTGCAAAATCAATCAGGCTTTACCAAGCTTCATCTAAAATGGAAAGTGTTCTGATCCCAAGACTAACATGCCCCTCACTATGATTAGCACAAAAGGGGAGAAAAATAAAACAAGAATATTAAATCGTTGCACAGTAAATGCACCATTCAGCATTCAGCCCCTGGGTATCTTACTAAAGACACCATACAATTCAACTGAGACAGAGGTAAAACAAAACAAAGTCACCGCATTTTTATTCAGGTTTCCAGAGATCTGTGCAGTTTAACTTTGGTTCTGGTACAATATCAGATATGGTAAAGACAGATGAGGTGTCGGGTGGGAAGTGGTTCAGGTGCTGTACACATTCCCACACAGACCAGTTAGGATGAAATGCATGCTTCTGGAAAACTAAGTGTCAAGTTTGATTTTTCAGGTTGTATGTGTGGGACCACCCCCAAACCCCCTTACTTACACCATCACCTCTATGAAACGTACCGTGTTGGCCCAGGACTTTAAATATTGAATGGGACACCTCCTGAACTTCAACTGGCTCTTTGCTCTCAGTCGTTCTGCGAAGAGTGCGTGTTTTGGTCGGCAGTTCTGGTGCCTGTGGTTTGTTGCTAACACAGCATTTCCCTCCTTTCTTCCCAAGCTCTTTCTCGACCTCTGCAAAGCATGTAACAAGGATCAGCAGAACATTCCCAGACTGTTAAAACAACATTTGTGATCTGCTGAATAAATCATGGTGAGGTTTTCAAAAATAAATGTAGGTGTGGGCGTTCAGACAACCTGCTCACTTTTTCAGCAAGCTGAGATCTGAAAAGCTAGTGAACCAACTAAACAACAAAGGTGCTTAACATTTAACAACTTACTGATCTACAAAAGTAGAAAACAGAGCACCATGTAACTGCTTACGTTACCTACAGATTAATATAAAATTTTGCATTAAAAAATGAAGTTAAAAATCTAACTTAGCCGAAGACCCAATTCTTTGACCACAAAATAGTGAGCAAAGTCATGACCTAGTGCTACAATTACTGACACACAGCCCCTACTGAACTCCTGGCAAAGCCTGACACACACATATTGTACATTGTCTCATAAAGAGTGACCTCTCCCCAACCATCCCAAATGTACACCTGAAGAAGACTGACACACATGATGCATTCCCTGAAAATATTGGTATGCTCCGTTTGCAAATTTTGGTAATTATTCCTGTATGCAATAGACATTGAGCATTCTGCACGAAACTGGTATTGCCACAAATCACTGAAAGACCTGCACAATTACAATGGCATCCATGTCATAATTGTTTACATTCTGCTACACAAAAGTAAAATGATGCTATTATTGTAGATGGAGTAAATTGTGTGGAAATAAATTAAACAAAGAGAAAAATAAAATAATTTGGAATTTTGATGGAGACATATGCGAGCCTTGGAGAGACTGAAACCAACAGTGTCTGGTTATCCCTCATATAAATCGAGATTGCCTCAGCCACCAGCACTCACCTTCTGATATACTCGATTCTTGGAACATTGTATCAAAAGCTCGATGGATATCTGCAAATGATGGTCGGTCCCCTGGGTTCCACTTCCAACCTAGAAGTGAGCAACATGGTTAGCAGTTTTCTAACTGCAGTAAAGATTTCTCAGCCACCAGTTATACGATGGCTGCTTTTCAATGCTAACCCACCTATGGGTTTTGAGGAAAGTAAGCTGCCTCTGTTCCTGGTGAGGGTTAAGCCCCGTGTAAAGTGCAATTCTCAGCTCAGTCCATCATTCAAACTTTGTTGACTTAATAATCGTCTCTTGTTTAATCAACCGTTTTTAATCGAGAGAAAGGTGAAAATCTGACCTTCACTTCTACGTGCAGTGGCTTAAGGCGAATGGCACGACTGCATTTTAAATAGAATCTAGTTCAGAAACAGAGCAAGAAAAGAACAGGGCATACTACTGGGTAAGATGAAGTGGGATGGGATAAACATTGGCACAGACCTGAAGGGCTAAGTAACATGTAAACTCTACGTCAAGAGAATTACTTTAAAACACAAAGCAGCTTGACATTGACCACATTCACTTCATTTTTTTTTATTTGGCAATGTAGATATTCAGGAATCAGGACAAGGGAGAGATCAATGGCAAAGAATAATTCAACCTTTGTATTTGCAATTTTTTTTTCAAATTATCTCATCCTGCAAAAACTTTTTGATCAATACAGTGTTAAAATATTTTATATCGAGCACATTTCCGATTGCCATTATTTTTGGTTGTGTTTTTCTATCTTCATTGTGAGTTGTTATGTCAACGTTTCCCTTTTAATTTTGTTGCATTCATGGTCATCATGTCATCGCAGGATGCAACCATTAGGCGGCTCTAGTGCTTAAAGCAAGTTTTAGTATTTGGTCACATGCATTGGTCAAGTGGCCTCCTCTTGTGCTGTGAGTATTTTTAAAATTCACCCACGGGATTTCAGTTTTGGCAAGGCTTGTATCGAATGCCCAACTCTAATAGCCTTTAGAACGTGATGTTAAGATGTCTTCTTGTCATTATAGTCCACGTTGTAAAGGCACTCCCAGTGCTTTTAGACATTGAGTCACTGTTTTATGATTTGACAACAGTGAAGGAACAGTGATATAGTTCCAAGTTAGGATTCTGAGAGACTTTGGATGGTAGGATCGAGGTAATGGTGCCCCATGCACCTGCTGCTCCTGTCCTTCCAGATCGTGGAGATCACAGGCTTGGAAGGTGCAGAAGATGCAGCAGTTAGATAACACTGCATGGTGTAGATGTAATATTATTAATCAGAAGCAATCCAAACTGGTCTTAAATTAACTCCTTGTGTACTCACATGCTCGCATCAATTCATAGACTTTGTCTGGACAGCCCTCAGGCCGCTCCATCCTGTAGTCCTTTTCCAAAAGGTCATAAACTTGTGAAAGGTCAATTCCAGGGTAGGGAGACATGCCATAAGTTGCAATCTCCCACAGGAGGACACCAAATGCTAGGAGGAATGTAACATGCTATGTCAGTTCAGATATAAAATATCGATTATTTTCTTTTCAGCAATTCCAAAACATAAGCATCTGCAATATAAAGTCTTACCATTAATTCTTTCATGAGACAAACTGGTCTCGTTCAAACAACGAACCTAAAGAATGGTCAAATTACTGAACAGAAACAAAATAAACAATGGCAGGATGATTTAATTACATATTTGTAGACAGACAGTTGGCTTTAGGATCTGTTACAATTAAAACGGGCTGGAGATCAAAAGGGACATTCATTAATGTCTGCCATATTATTTCAATCCATTCAACAATCAGCATTGATAACACAATTGTAAGGTGATAGGGGTTGGGTAGGAGGGGAAGGGTTTGAAGAATTAAATAGGTAAAACACAAAGCTTTAACATCCCCGCTGAAACCAAGTCCCAGCGACTCAGCTTCTCTATGCTGCAGGCAGCAACCATTAATAGCCATCAGAATTTGATTATAGAGCTGCAAAACATGACAAATATGGTAGGAGTGGAAGAGGAGGGAAATTCAGCAGGTGGCTCAAGTTGATTGTATGTATTTCTTTCTGAATTGGGTGATGTTTCTTTAACTAGAGTTCATTACTCCAGATAGTTCCCTCCAAAACACCATTTTTTAACTCATTCACAGAATGAGGGTGTCACTGGCTAGGGCAGCATTCATTGCCCATCCCCAACTGCCCTGAGGGCAGTTCAGAGTCAACCACGTGGCTGTGGTTCTGGAGTCACATGTAGGCCAGACCAGGTAAGGATGGCAGTTTCCTTCCCTAAAGGGCATTAGGGAACCAGATGGGTTTTTCCAACAATCGATTCATGGTCATCATTAGATTCTTAATTCAAGATTTTTTTTTATTGAATTCAAATTCCACCGTCTGCCGTGACAGGATTCGAACCCGGGTCCCCAGAACGTTATCTGGGTCTCTGGATTAACAGCCCAGTGATAAAACCACTAGGCCATTACCTCCCCTTGCACTCAGTGGAATAATTTTAACAATGTACGTTATGAATATTCAGAAGCAGCACCTATATACTTACCCCACACATCGGATTTGATTGAAAATTTGTTGTAGGCTAAACTCTCTGGAGCAGTCCATTTAATGGGAAACTTTGCCCCAGCATGTGCTGTATATGTGTCCCCCGTCATTAACCTACTTAGTCCAAAATCAGCCACTTTAACCAAGTGGTTCTCCCCTACAAGGCAGTTCCTAGCGGCAAGGTCCCTGGGAAAAGAACATTAGGAAGAATCAGATTCCGAGAAAAAGTTAAAAAAATAGTTAGACCTGTGAGAAATTACAACTTGATGCTAGAAAAGATTCAAGGTAAAATTAGATTGCTCGGAATTTATATTTACCTTGAAGGAACGTGCAGCAGTTTGCTGAAGACTCCGTTTCTCAGATTAAAGAGACTCATCATTTTAAATTCTTGAGTACTAGGGCAACATACCTGTGAATGAAATTTTTCTTCTCCAAATACTCCATTGCAGAGGAGATCTGAGTTGCCATGTATAGCAGCACAACAGCATTCACCTCCTCCTTGCTGCAATCACGTAGGTAATCCAGGAGGTTACCGTGAGTCATAAACTCTGTGATGATGTAAAACGGAGGCTCCCGGGTACATACACCTTTGGAAAGAAATAGCACAGAGAGTCATCGTTAAGTGTACCTGCCAACATTTTATATGGTGTACAAATACAGCAGGTGTTCCCAGTTGGATGAGTGATCAATTGCACAGCACCAACTTGTGAAATTGACTTTCTAAACAAAGTTTTAAACTGAAGACTACTGCTGCATGTAGCCTATCCTTCCAAATCTCCCACTGAGTTAATGGCTGCAATTTTACAACAGCCCATTTTTTGTGCCCCCTTTCTTAACAGGAATTCACTATTTCATTAAAACCCTGTCTTGTTACTACTTTGTTAGGCAGATACAAAAAATGATAAGACAGGAAAAGATTATAGCTGATTCATTAAGAGATAGTAAGAACTGCAGATGCTGGAGTCAGAGGCAATACAGTGTGGAGCTGCAGGAACACAGCAGGCCAGGCATCATCAGACCATTCATTAAGTTCTTTGTAACCTGCTCCCAGTTTTATCTCTCTCACTAAATGTTAAGTTCCAACTTGATGCCCTGAATCTTAGAGTTCTCAAAGTCCTCAAATCCAGTACACTCTAGCAAAACCTTCCCAATCTTAAAATTTTCAGTAGAGAAATTGAATGATTTTTACCAAGCCTTAATAATAATAACTTGGTTATATAGTTCCTTTAGCACAGGAAACATCCCAATTTGCTTCAGCAGAATGTTCATGATCCTTCCATGCATCTTCCTCCCTTCCTTAAAACATGTCTCTCCGGCCAAGCTTTTGTCACTTGCTGTAATATTTGCTGATTAAACAATGAGTATGCACAGAACATGAAACTTGCCAACACAATATATAATTGAGGTGAATTGCACAGATACATTTAAGGGAAGCTCAATGTTCACTTGAGAAAGTATAAATGGCTCTGCTAAAAGATTTAGATGAAAGGGGCTGGGGAGAGACTTGTGTAGAGCATAAACACTCCATAGATCAGTTGGGCCCATTTCTCTGCTACACATTCTAACTCTGTACAATTCCGATACACAGCAAACCGTTTCATCAGGGAATGTAAACATTGCCTCAGGAGGTAACAAAGATGTAAAAGAACCTCAGAATGACCAGGAATTTATTCATACAATACTCTAAGGTTTCATGACTCAAAGATCACACTTAGGATTCAAGGCTTCGCAACATGTTATGTCCAGCAAATTCAATTGAAACTGCAATTTGCAATGGTAGCCCAGTTCACTATATTTCAGGTCTGCTGTCAGCACATGTAGTTTACTGTTCGTCAAGATTCCATTCCCAATGACAGTTCAATATACAGGATGCTGCTTAATCCACTGAGAAGGTAACCTCATTAAACATGCAGCCATAAGTACTTTTTGTGATAGGTTTAGAAAATGCCTCTGGTGGTATTTGATTCTACAACTGGAGTTATTCATTGCAATCTCACGCCCATTTCTTTATGTCCTTTAACATATTCACGTTCAAAATTTAGCTTCTCTTAATGCCAAGATCCTGCAGCCCCTCCAAGTGATGTGATCAAAATCCGTTAACAATCCGTGTTAAACCAAGCTGCTGCTTCCTTCCTCAGTTCTGAGGAAGGGTCACCTTACCCGAAACGTTGACTCTGATTTTTTCTTCACAGATGCTGCCAGACCTGCTGAGCTTTTCCAGCAACTTCTGTTTTTGTTCCTGATTTACAGCATCCGCAGTTCCTTCAGTTTTTATTAAGCTGCTAATTCCTGGTCTTTATGCTTTTATTCATACATCCACGTTTTCAAATTTAAATTCTTCATGTTCCATTAATGAAGACAATCTCTCTTTCTGAACAACAGTGCACTCATACACTTAGACAGTAACAAGTCACCTCATCTGTACAGTCTTACCTAGCAGCTGTACCAGATTGGGATGCTTAATTTCCTTCATAACTGCAGCCTCTTTCAAGAATTCTTCCACTTCCATGGTATCTTCCTGCAGAAAGAGAAGAGCTCTGCATTATTCCTGGAGGAGCAAAGTGTGGAGGGATGCTGGTACTGCACAAGAGAAATTGAGATGGTAACAAATGTTCTACTGCGAGAACAGATGACAGAAGTGGGGTTAATCTCAAATACTCCACATTGTTTTACGGAGATGTGTAGCTAAAATATCAGCGCATTTTCTCTGCAAACGACATACTCTTATATTGTGCAGCAGATATTTGTTCACAGGACTGGTGCATCAAAATTTTTTTATATATGGATATATAAACATATGTAGGAAGTTGTGTGGAATACATGGATGGAGACAAGAAGATTATAATTCCAGAATTAAGTTCAACATATTATATTTCAACATAGCGCCTATGGCTGAAATGTGAATTCTGCTCAATATTCCTATGCTAAACAAAACTGGGAAGTGGCAAAGAGAAATATTTTGATGCAATGAGCCGTTGTGATCTGGAAAGTGTAGGCTGAAAGGACCATGCAGCAGATTCAATAATACCTTTCAAAAGAGAACTGGATACAGACTTGAGAAAAAAAAAAGCACCCATAAGGAGAAACAGGAGGTTTAATTGGGTAAGGTTTAAAGAGCTGACAGAAGTGGGAGGCGATGGCCTAGTGCTATTATCGCTGGACTGTTCATCCAGAGACTCAGATAATGTTCTGGGGACCTGAGTTCGAATCTTGCCACAGCAGATGGTGGAATTTGAACTCAATAAATATTTGGAATTAAGAGTCTAATGATGACCATGAATCCATTGTCGATTGTCATAAAAACCTGTGTCAGAATTACCCATCTGGTTCACTAATGTCCTTTAGGGAAGGAAACTGCCACCCTTACCTGGTCTGGCCTACATGTGACTCCAACCCACAGCAATGCGGTTGACTCTAAACTGCCCTCAGGGCAATTAGGGGTGAGCAACAAATGCTGCCTGGCCAGTGACACCCTCATCCCGTGAATGAATAATAAAAAAGTATAGTGGGCCAAATGGCCTCCTTTTGCGCTGTCATTTTACAATTCCATGAAAAGACTCACATTTATGTGACATCTTATTGGATATAGAAATATCAAAGTATGTCACCAGAAATGAGGTACACGGAGGTAGCAGCTTTTATGTACAAGTACACCAGATATAGCAGTAAATGACCAGTTAAATCTCCCTCAGACAGTACATGTGTTATTGCTCTTTCTCTATTTCCTCTGACCACCTGGACACTTCTGCCAATTTTTATCCCATCACCGTTGCTTCCTTGAGAACACCAACTTTAACTGAACATTATACAGACAGCCTTCAAACAACAATCTGGTGCGTGTCTACTGCAATCATTTTGTAGCAACTCCCGAGTTGTGCAATGAGCTGAAAGAATCCCTTAACGTGCTAAGTAAAGTGGAAACTTTATGTGGTTTTTAAGACAAGCCGTGGGTGGATTTTGCTGCCATGTGGTAATGTTTACTTTTTCTTGGGATGTGGGTGACACTGGCAAGGCAGCATTTATTGCCCATCCTTAGTAATTCGGAAAACATGAAGAATCAACCACACAGCTTGGAACTGGCACCACATGCCAGGTAGAAGTGGCAATACATTTGACAACCAATTTATTTCAAGTGCGACTTCATAACTGTGTGGGATCTGAACCTCTGAATAGCTGATCTATGGCAATGATATAAGGCTAAAGTACGTGGTAATGTTCCATCAAAACCGTTCTCCTGCCAATGTCAGAAATCGCTATGCTTAAGAGTGAGTTACTTGTGGTACCATGAATTCAATAAACTGAGATAGCAAATGATACTATCAGTGACACATACACTCAAGGAAAAATGCATCAAAGCTACACACACACACACACACGACTTCATTCAAGGAAAACCCAGCAGGAACCACTGAGATTAAGAACCTTGAATGCAGGAGAAAAAGAAAACCACTTTATAGTCGTACTGGTTGTGCTCTTGCCCACGATCCAGGCCAGCCTGTGGTTGAATTCTCTCTGCTTTAAGATGACTAAACATGTCATCTTAAAGAAATGTGCAATAACTAGAGGATCTAGTTTGCAGATGGGTTACATCCGCAGTTTGGAAGTTAGTAATTGACCAGTGAAGATAGAAGCTCATTTCAAACCACAGATACTCATAACAGAATCTGTAATTCGGCTCATCATGTTGGTCTGGACTTCGTACTACAGTAATGCAAAGATAATCCCACTACTGAATGCTCCAACGTATGCACCAGTGCTTCCAACTTTCGGCTACTTTGCCTTTAAAGGATACAATATCTCTTAAAGTCTAATTTATTCTGAAATTGAGATACAAGATGCAAAATGCAAGTCAGGAAAGTCCTAACAATTTTAGTCAGAAAAATTACCAGTATTGTACATCCTTGTGCTACCATGCCATGCCGAGTTGCGATTGGGCTGTAACACAAATGTCCCATCTTCGCTTTGGAAGTGGCTCAGACCTCAACCAATTCTCACTACAAAGGTTCATTGGGTACTCCTTGATGTCAGTGCCCAATTGTAAGTGAACTCAAATGAATGCTGTGGAAAATTTAAAAAGAAAACAGGGCTGCTCAAAAGATTATGCGCTGTTTGGTCTAATTATCTACTGATTCCCACTTACAAGAAATAGCTTTACAAATGCTTTCCTCTGATCTTCAAAATAATTATAGCATATAGACACGTGTCCTCATATAGCACCTTACACGCCCACAGCATGTTCCAAAGCATTTCACAACCATAAGATGCTTATTAAAAGCATGGTCACTGCTGTTTTGTGAGATTTACAGCTACCTTGTACATGCTCAAGTTCCATCAGCAGCAACAGATAAACGATCAGATTATCTATTGCAGATGTCATTAAGGAAGGGAATGCCAACTGGGGCACTGATCGGGCTCCGTGCTCCTTGTGGAAGATGTCACAGCGCCTGCCGTATCCACCTCAACAGGCAGTCAGGGCCATCGTTTAAAATCGAAATACTGAATGAATGCCATCCAGCCCACTGCACCTGTACAATTCTACAAGTACAGCTATCCAATTAGTTCCAATCCCTTGCTCTTTACCTACACATTGTTTCCTTATCCAAAGGATAGCATCCCTGAAGTGTCAGTCCAGTTCTTATGCTTAAATCACAGGAATGAAGTTTGAATCAAGATCCTTCGGAGTATAAAGTTCGCTCATTATCGCTGAGTGCAAGCTGAACATAACTTATCTATTGAAAGGGATTTACTATTGAGGCTCCATGCTGTGTGCTTCTCAGCCACCTAATCATAGCTGAACTCGAGAAGAACCTACACCAACATATAAGATTGGCTATTTAATATATTTCCCACTTACAGCAAAACAGAACTCACAACCAGTGGGAACTGAGTTTAAATGAGGTAACATTGAAACTAGTCTCCAATGCCACAGTTGACCTCACCTGCAAGTGAGAAGAACAGAAGTTGGCAGAATATCTCTCACATGTCAAATTGCATTGCATTGGGATGTTGAAGAGTACTCAACGGGAACTGAGTGATTGGCGGGTCACCAGTGGATCAATCGGATATTAGATGTGATTAAGTTATTTGTTCAAACATGCATTACACCCATCCAGCTCCAATTTCAGAATGGGCCTTTAAAGTGAACATATTGGGTCGTTGACATACAAGAATCATCTGCTCAAAATTGTTGCTAACTTCCCCCTTATTGGCAAGTCAATGCAGCAATGTGCCTTGGGAAGTTTACAGTGCCAAAGATGCTATAAAAAAAGAAATTGTTCTTATGTTAGTTCAGGAAGATAAAAAACAATTTTAAGTGGAAGAGTTCAATCTGAAGACTCTCACCCATATTTAAAAAAACATTCTCCACTATAAGGTTCTCCTATCTGAGGTTCCAACTTACTGGAGACTTTTTTTTATTGAAGCGTATTTTCTTGCAAAGCTGTGTCAACACTTCTCACATGACACTTAATTCAACACCTCAAAGGCAGCTGACTCAAAAACAAACTCTCTCCAGCCTGTATACAAGTTTAGAAGGATGAAACCGGAGGGTATTTAGGGTAACATTTCTCCTGGCACGGTGACCTTCTGGCCTCCCGGCATGGTGTGTCGCCCACGCAGTGTGCAGCCAGGGCTCTGTGTGGACTGGAAGCTAGGTGCCAGCATGGTCTGTCGCACTGAACTTTTATTTCTGTAATGCTGGACATTTTATTTCTCTTTTGTCTAAGATCTTGCAACTAAAGAAGCTGTGCCTAGGTAATTTTGTGTCTAAGTTGGGGCTGTAATTGGCGATATATAAACTTTTCACTATACTATCATATGTATTCAATGAGTAAAGGTTATTTCTCTTCTACTCAAATATTTAACCTGCTGAATTCTGGGTAACACCAGAGCATCATGAAAGTTCATAAAAATTCAAGTCGATCCAAATGTCAGGCTATTGCTCGTTTATTAAAGTGCATTTACTATAGTGCACAATAAGATATCTCACTCCATCACTTAAAATTCCATATGTACAATTCAACCAAATGCTGCAAGATATGTCATGCTCAAGTCAACCACTAGGGGAGGCTAATGACACACTCAATAATTATCATGCAATTGGATAGGACACAAACTGCATACAGTTTGTTTCCCAAGCTGTGGTTGGCGGGGTATGGGGTGGTTTTTCTGACTTTACCTCAACAGCCTGTATTCCCAATTCCCAAGCAGTAAATTGTTGGAAAAATTGGTGCTGTGGCCTCTCAGGTGAGTCTATCATATTAAACTTGGAGACAGATAAAACAGTCAAGGCCGTCAAAACTAGACAACATCAAGTCGGGAGATTGTTCAGTCACAGGGCATCCACATAAACCTGGAACCTTGTTAAGAGGTAAACTTGTTTCTATTGTACAGGGTGATTCTCTATAGTTCAATTCCTGTTCACTATTCTGTCAGTCATCTATATTTTTTAATACATTAAGTTGTATATGTTGATGGCTACAAAAAGACTGCTCCCAGTCAATCACACACCAGGAAAGACATGCACAACCTGCGGCCAAAAAGTGACATCAAGTCCGATCAAATACACTAAATTAAGGACCTGCATTTTGAAAGCACAGTTTCATGTCATTATTTTTCAAACATCTGAAAAGCAATTCATAGGTAATGAACTGGAGGTGCAGTGACCTTGAAGTTAAAGAGGTTTAGGGAATAAATCAAGGTTGGACTATCCCTGCAGCTATAGCAACTATTGGGAGGAAGGCAAATGAACTATTTCATGTTAAGTGGGTTCCTCTACCTGGCAGCAATGTGATCATGGAAGATGGTTTCTGCTTCCTTCACTGAAAATCAACGCAGAACTGTATATTTTAATTTCAGGCATACCACTATGCTCCCCCTCCTCTTGACCATTCTCTCTGATCATTCCTCCCCTTTCAGTCCATTTTTCGTCCCATTCCTAAATTGTCTCTATTCCGGTCTTCAGAGCCCATCTGGTTGCTGATTCACTTGTTTTCACACTCACTGAACAGAATCCTCAATAATACTCAAAAGTCCACTAGTCATTAGACAGGTCCAATAGCTTTAACAGGAAACAGTTCCTGCTTCTATGGGTCTATGGAGGCGTCACATCCTGCATTTGCTCTGTCATACTCCAGGAAATAAATCAAAACAACTCCCATTTCTAGAGCATCTTCAACCCAGTTACAGGGAGGTGACAGTGACTGACCTTGACATCAGGGCACTATTTGACTGACTGTAGCAGCAAGTCGCCCAGCAAAAGTGAAGTCGATGGAAATCAGGGGATAGAATCTCCATTTGTTAAAGCCATACCGAGCACAATGGAAGATGATTGTGGTGGTTGGTGCCTTTCACTCAGACAGAGAACATCTCTGCACAGGCTTCTCAGGGTAGTGACCAAGGCTCAATAATCTTCAGCTGCTTCATCAATAATTCTCCCTCCATCATAAGGTCCGAAGTGAAGATATTTGTTGACGACTGCACAATGTCTACTATCATTTGCAACTTCTCGGATACAAAAGCATCAAGTATACATACGCTGTAAGGACTGAACAACATTCAGGTTTGAGTTGATAACTGGCTATTAGCAGATGCACCACACAAGTGCCAGACAATGACCATTTCCAACAAAAAAGAGTATAACCATCTTGCCCTTGCCATTTGATGGCATTACTATTACTGAATTCCCAACTATCACCAGCCTGAGGGTTATGATTAACTAGAAATGGAACTGGATGAGCCAAATGAATACTGTGGCTACAACAACAGTTCACAGACTTAGAATTCTGAAGTGTGTAATTCACATGTTAACTTCCAAAAACCTGTCTACCATCTATAAGACACAAGACAGGAGTGTAATGGAACATTCGCTACTTACTTGGGTGAGTGTGGCTACAACACTCAAGAAGCTAGATACTCTTCAGGACAAAGCAGACTGCTCAAACGACAGCCTATCCACCAGCTTGAACATTCACTTCCTCCACCAGAAATGGACAGCGGCAACAGCAACAGTGAAGCAATGGTGATATATTTCCAAGACAGGATGGTGTGTGGCTTTATGGGGAACTGGCAGGTGGTAATGTTCCCATGCATCTACTATCGTTTTCCTTCTAGATGGTACAGGTCAAGGGTTTGGAAGATGATGTCAAAGGGAGCTGTCCTTCATGGGAAAATATTGGACTTGCCAGTGACATCCATAACCCACAAAAGAATAAAATGTAAAATGACCCAGGATGACAGGAGCTATTAGCCAAAACTTGTCAAAGGCAGTGATGTTTGGGCAGGGGACCAAACGTTTGGTTGAAGAGGTAGGACTTAGGGATGCTTTTAAAGGAAGCGCGAGAAATTGAGAGTCAGTGAGGTTTAAGAATGAAATTCTCAAACTCAGGATTTTGATAGCTGAAGGCAAAAAACCCAGTGGTGAGACCGAGAGAGTGAGAAGTACACAAGGGCCCAGAGATGGAAGAACATGTTGTACAGCTGAAGGAGGTTACTGAAACTCGGAGGGATGAGGCCGTGGGAGGAAATGAATACAAAGTGAGAGCTGTTTTAAAATTAAGGCACTGTCAGACCAGGAGCCAATGTAGATCAGTGAGCAGAAGGGTCAATGAGTGAATGGACTTAGTATGAATTACAGACAGGTGGCAAAGTGTTGGATGAACTCAAGTTGGTGTTAGGTGGAAAGAGAGGGTGGGTTTAGATAGGACTCAAGGCCAAGCTGAGGAGCACTAGAATAGTTGTGCCTGGAGGTTAAAGAACATTGCAAAGCCAGGATTTACCAGTGGTGAAGGCAGGAAATTGCAAACCTTGTGGGAGAGCAAGATTTTCAATGACTTGTGTAAGAATTGTGAATAAAGTGATTGATCTGAAGTATTTCAGGTAGTGATCCTCCAGCCCAAAATTATTAAAACTGCCAAAGCAATGGTGCATGTGTTAACTTGAATTTGGTTGTTATATTAAAAAAAAACACAGCTCTTGTAATCCTTCTGCATCATGCATTGCATTTCTTCATTGTATAGTCAGCTGCTTGGGCTCCACATTTAGGTATGGGGATTGTAGAGATCATGAGATGCTCAGAATTTCCCCATTGTTGATTATCAACTTATTTTTATAAATGTACACAGATTATTGGAGAATATTATGAAGGAAATTAAAAATATTTATTACAATTAAACCAATCTCTCTTCCTATCTGCCCTCTGCTGTCCACTGATTCATTCTTGATCCTTGGTAACTCCAACCACCTGAACTCACTCTGACTGGACTTTGATTTTTGTGGTTTTTCTCCCTAGTCACAATAAGGTAGTATTAATTTCAACGGTTATTTTAAGTCACTTGGTCCTTTTCCCATCACAGATTTTCTTCATGACTCCCTAAGTGTCTGTACTCACTAATCAATCTTGGAAACGTACACACAAACAACGATGAATCTGGTGAGCTGCCAGAATGCAAGAAATCTTTGCCACGTATCTCTCGTATTTAACTGCCTGGCAACAATTTGGACACAATAATGGAATATCTTCTTCTTGGCCAATATGGGACAAAAACAACTTTTACATGTGACTCAGCAGTAGTCAGGCTGCATTTCTACATGGCTCACATCAAATGATAAACAAATACTCATGCTCCAGGAGCAATACTGATTCCTAAGGAAGAAAAAGAGGGGGAGTAGGCTGTTCCACCATTCAATTAGGTCATGGATGCCCTTCTATCTGAATTCCAACTTTTTATACTATCCACATATTTCTTATTTCCTTTTGTATCCAAAAATCTATCAACATGTCTTGAATATGTTCAATTCCTCAGCATCCATACCCCTTAAGGCAGGATTTCAAAGATTTACAGCCTTTTGAGCAAAGAAACTGTTCAACATGGTGTTAAAAATCTGACACCTTATTCTGCCTTGGTTTAAAAACTCCCCAGGCATGGAAACAGCTACCCAGTCAACGTCATTCACAATTTTATGTTTCATTTTGACAACCTCACATTCTTCCAAATTGTGGGGAATATAGGGCAATTCCCTCAACTCAGGAACCAGTTTAGTAAACTTTTGTTACTCTTACTCTGGGGAAGGTATGACATTCCTATCTGCTTGCATTCACACTGTGCATCAGTATGACGTACGATACCCAGCCAGTAACCTTGCATAGAATCACAGAATTGCCATTCGGCCTATCAAGTCCATATCGACCCTTCAAAAGAGCATCCCACCAACATAGCTCCCCTACCCTATCCCTGTAACCCTGCATTTCCCATGACTAATCCATCTAGCCTGCACATCCCTGGATACTATGGGCAATTTAGCCTGGCCGATTCACCTAACATCAAGGGTCTAAGACTGATTCCAGAAATGTGACTGCAAAATCTAAGCTGATACTTCCAGTGCAGTATTGTGGGAGTGCTGAAAGTGTCATCTTTGGCTGAAACCTTAAACTGGTGGCCTGTGTGCCCTCTCTAGTGGATGTAAAGGTCAATGCTATAGCATTACTTCAAAGAGGAGCAGAGGAGAACTACCGTAGCCACTACTTCTCCTTCAACCATCAACCCAAAAAAGGAGAGAGATGGGCGTTGGGAAACTGCTGTTTTTGGGAGCTTGCTGTGTATCCTACAATCGTGACTGTAGCTCCAAAGATGTAAAATGATTTACAATGTCCTGAGTCGGTGCAATAAAATAAAGCTTGTAGTCCTAATGTAGGTTAAATGGTTCATCTAAAGACTGCAGCTCTGGCAGTGCTGCATCACACTGTCAGCATGGATTACATGCCGATATCTTTACAGTAGTATTTGAAGTGGCAATCTTCCAACTCAAAGGGAGTCAGCTATATACAGCCAACATATCAATATTCTAGTGACCCATTAATTTAAATTGTAAGTCTTCTAACTACATTTTCTTCCCAATTCAGTTACTTGACATTCTACTCTTCTGTGTGCAACAACTGAGGCAAATCTACCATACCTTCAGTGTCTTCACTGCCACAGTGAGGTTGTATTTTTTCCACACTCCCTCGTACACCTCACCATACTGTCCTCCACCCAGCTTGTGTTTCATTGTAATGTCCGTTCGCTCAATCTCCCATTTGTCATAATTTGGGGAGACTCCATAAATTGTAGGCTTGTTACGTTTGGGAGCTGGGTAGTGTAGGGTGGTGATAAGTCCATCAGCCACTGTTGAGTGGTGGTGAACGAGCTCTGCCAAGGTGTTGAAGCGACTCTCTGAAGATACGTATAGCTGCAAAAACAAGGAGGGAAAGTGTTAACAGTACTCAAATCCACACTGGAAAATTCAGTCCTGTTTGAGAAAGGTCATAGTAAATCTAAATCCAGACATCTCAATGTTTTCTGACTCTCAAGTCCATTCTAGTCCCAAATTAAAACAAAGAACTGTGGATGTTAGAGATCTGGGGGAAAAAAAACTCAGAAATCGCTGGAGGAACTCAGCAGGTCTGGCAGCATCTGTGGAAAGAAAGCAGAGTTAACGTTTTGAGTCTGGTGGCACACTGCTTTCTTGCCATAGATGCTGCCAGGCCTGCAAAGTTTCTTTAGCAATTTCTGTTTTTTGTCCATTTTAGTTCTACCTTCTTCCAAAGCATTGCTCTGGGGACATGCATTCAAATCCCACCACGGTCACAGGTGAAATTTAAACTGAATTAATACAAATCTGGAATTGAAAGCTTGCATTCATACCAGTGACCAATCATTGTTGTAAAGCCATCTGATTCTTGACTTCCTTTAGGAGGAAATAGGATCAGACCTACATGTGACTCCAGATCCACAGCAATGTGGTTAACTCTCAACTGCCTAGCAAGACACACAGTTCAAGGGCAGCAAATATCCATATTCTACCTAAAACAAACAGAACAGAAAGGACTGGTACCGTTGCAAGAACAAAGTAACTAGTATTAAAAAGCACAAGGTTTGATAAAGACATGAAATCTTTGATTTGAAGAGGACCTGATCCAGGAGAAAATATAACAGAAACAGTTGCAAGTGGTCACTGTTATGATCCCAGATTGTGTTACTACAGACAAGTCAGATTCCAGAATGACACTTGGTTCTTTTATTATTTAATCATGGGCTGAGGTTGTTGCTGGCTACACCAGCATTTATTGCTCATCTCTAATTGCCTAGAGGGCAGTTAAAAGTCAAACACTTTGGTGTGGATGTGGAGACACATGCAGGCCAGACCAGGTAAGGATGGCAGTTTCCTTCCCTAAAAGGACATTAGGGAATCAGATGGGTTTTTCTGACAATTGACAATGACTCGTGGTCATCATTAGACCAATTCCAGATTTTTTTTTCAGATGAATTCATATTCCACCACCTGCCATGGTGGGACTCAAACCCAGGTCCCCAGAATGTTACCTGGGTCTCTGGATTAACAGTCCAACAATAACTTCACAAGGCTTTCACCTCCCCTTACAGAGGGACATTAAATATATTATATATTATATAGAATGCTTGATAGATCATACCTTTCTCTATAACTAAAGGTCGAAATTTTTGATTGAAACATGAGACTGCAGATTGGGTTTTAACAATAAATCAGAAGAAAAATAAAACAAACTGAACTATCTAAACATTACACATTTGAAAGATTTCAAAACACATAGCAAAACAAAATCACAACTACTCCCCAACATCACCACCTTACAGTGATTCAAAATCCAGAAAAAGATTTTTTCCTTGTCCAATCTGTAGGTCTGTCCTTACCCTGTGAGCTGCCAAGTCTTTTGCGTGAATCCTCACATAACTGAGATCTTGGACATTCTCAGTTTTGAATAACAATGCAAGTTTCACCGAGGTAACACTTCCTTAACTGCTCCCAACAAATTTCTTTCTAGGACAGACTATACTTTCATGTGACTTGTCAGTTTTCTTCAACCTGCACCCAAAAGCATTTCAACTAAATTTAAAAAAAAAACTTGCTCATCCTAAACTCTACTAAACTAACGCCTTAATGTTTTCTCCTATGAACCCCACAATATAAACCAACTTTCATTAACACTACAGAAGGCCCCACTGTCCTGTTCCTTAACGTGTACTGGTTTAAAATCAGGGTTCTGGGAAGACTGACCTAATTAATTTTTAAATCCCTTCACAAAAATAGACAAACATTCACATTTTACTAGAATAAAAACAAAACACTGCTGATTCTGTGAATCTGAAATAAAAAAAAAGAAAATGTTGGAGAAATTCAGTAGATCTGACAGCATATGTAGAGAGAGGGAAAAAGAAGTTAACATTTCAACTCCAATATGACTTCTTCAGTTCACAAGAGTCACCCTGGATTTGAAACACTAACTCAGTTTCTCTCTCCACAGATACTATGTTTGACTTGCTGAGTTTTTCTCCACATGCTCAGAGTGTGAAATCCAAACTCCATAAAAAAATCTTAAATAAAAACCGAAAGAACTGCGGATGCTGTGAATCAGGAATAAAAACAAAGTTGCTGGAAAAGCTCAGCAGGTCTGGCAGCATCTGTGAAGGAAAAAAGAGTTAACATTTTGGGTCTGGTGACCCTTCCTCAGAACTGCTGCCAGACCTGCTGAGCTTTTCCAGCAACTTTGTTTTTATTCTGTAAAAATATTAATATATAAAAATTACAGACCTTTTATCACACTCTAAACGTAATAAAATCAGGATGCAGGTCTTCCTAAAACATCTTGAAAAGATTACTGGGTCCCTTATTGCATTGTTGTTTGCATGAGTATGCTGTGCACAAATTGGGTGCTGTGCTTTCTATATTACAACAGTGACTAGACTTGCAAAGGCTTTCACTGATAGTAATGTACTTTTGGGATGTCCTGAAGTTCAGATGCAGTGCATTTCTCGATCTTTCTTCAAATTCCAAAGAAACAGCAAGGGATAAACATGCTGATGCCATTATTCGCCGGCTCAAACACTGAAAGTAAGTTGGCTTGGTAGATGATTGAGTTTTTTTTAAAGCACTGAGTGGTACAAGAGTGGTACAAGAGTGGTACAAGGGGCAGCACGGTGGCTCAGTGGTTAGCACTGGATCTGGGTTCAATTCCACTCTTGGGCGACTATCTGTGTGGAGTTTGCACATTCTCCCTGTGTCTGCGTGGGTTTCCTCCGGGTGCTCCGATTTCCTCCCACAGTCCAAAGATGTGCAGGTTAGGTGGATTGGCCATACTAAATTGCCCCATAGTGTCCAGGGATGTGTAGCTTAGGTGGGTTATAGGGGGATGGGTCTGGGTGGGATGCTCCAAGTGTCGGTATGGACTTGTTGGGTCGAAGGGCCTGTTTCCACACTGTAGGGATTCTATGATTCTATTCTAAAAATGAGCTTTCAGACGATAATGCTGCTCTTCACACACTAGCCCCAACAGTTTGTTACTTCTGTGTCCAGTAGTCACAGTGGTATAAACCTTGTTGGTCATTTTAGATCGAAGTGGCAGGTCTTAACAGAACTGGTAAACGGGCCAACTATAACACCAACAGACACAAGCTTTTCTGTAACCTTCACTGAGATGTCTATCAAAAATGTTAGGGGCCAAGACTGTGCACGTGGGGAATGGGGGACTCACAAAGCAAGGAAAGAGCTTAGTTATGTGGGTATGCACACTAGTGATACATCAGCTACACCACAAATAAAATTTCATTAGTTTTACAAAATAGGCTAGTACTTATTTTGCAACTTGCATACCTGGTAAGTGCTTTATATGCATTAAATTACTGTAAAATGCATTTAGCCATATGTATATAGCAAGAAACCAAATACTGTATTGAGATGAATAATAAGGAACATGCAATAAAACGCAAGAACTCAGTGCTCTAGTTCAAAGAGCATCATGGGATCTCTAATATATACCTGAAGCAGATGAAGATACAGAGCGTCAATTTATTGCCTCATTTGAAGAATGGCACTTCTGACAATGTAGCAGGGTACTAAACTATCAACCTTGATGACTTACACAAGTCCTGGCAGGAGGGGGTTTGAAACAAGTACAAATTACTGAGCTAAGCAAACACAAAATCATTCCAGGATGCATTTTACTGGAATTCTGGTGAAATACTAGAAATGAAAGCAAAGCTCAAAAAAAAGATTAAAGTTCTGACAGAGTGAACCAGGAGACATAAACAATTTTCACTCTTGCCCACAAGAGATTAGTAAAACGTAATGTCACCTCCTACAAGCAATGTAATTTCCTGTAAAGACAATAACACAATCAGCAAGGAGTCCCATCAACTACACTGACAGTCTAATGCTCCTGCTTGGAACCGCAACTATTTGAATACTAAACTTACTGTGTGAGTCAGTGTAATTGCTTTTGTTCCAAACCAGTGTCGAGTTCAGGTCAGACGGTGCTTTATACTGGAAGCAGTTTTTATATTAAATGTTTTGAGGCCATGTACTCGAGTGTGACCTTGTTACGGCTTTTTTTTTGGCCTCAAACAACTTATATTTATAAAGACAGTTTTACAGCACTGAAAAGCACTCAAGACACTTTGAAGTTTGTGGAATAAACATAAACCAAGCCAAAGGACAGAGTGGTAGGGTTGACTCAAAGCTCAAAGACATGATTTGTTTAGTAAGGTCTTAAAACAGGGGTGGGAGGTAGAAAAACTAAGGGATTTGGTAAAGGAATTCCACAGAATAGGCTGTGGAAAGAGCAGCAAAGAGCGCAAGACAACACACACCAGATGTGAGCATTAGTACACCATATGGCCCAATGAGCTTACCCTGTCATTTCATTTGACCATGGCTGACCTTGGGTTTTAACTCCACTTTCCCACCTGCTCCCCATATCCCTCAATTCCCTGAGAGGCCAAAAAGGCATCTGTCCCAGTCGTAAAGAAGCAGCCACAACCCTCTGAGGTACAAAATAGGCTAGCTCCAAAGATTCACAATTCTTGAGTGTGGAAATATGCCCTCAATTCACTCCGAACTGACAATCACTTATCCTGAAACTTTGTTCCTGTGTTCTAGGATCATTATCCAGATGAAACACCCTTTCAGTGTTGACGTCCTTCACAATCTTGCAAATTTCACTGAAATCACCTCTTGTTCTTCTGAACTCCAGTGAACACATACTGAGTAAACTGGATCAGCATTGAACAATCCTCACATCCCAGAGACTAATTTAATGAACAATTGCTTCCAGTGCAAGTATATCTTCCTGAAATACAGACCAAAATGGCGCACAGTATTCCAGTATGGTCTTATCAAAGTCCTGTACAATTGGAAGACGATTTTTAAAAAAAAAA